ATTAGTATCTAATGATTCTGTTATTGGTTGTGTGGTATATAGTATAATTAGTATCTAATGATTCTGTTATTGGTTGTGTGGTATATAGTATAATTAGTATCTAATGATTCTGTTATTGGTTGTGTGGTATATAGTATAATTAGTATCTGATGATTGTTATTTGTTGTGTGGTATATAGTATAATTAGTATCTAATGATTCTTGTTATTTGTTGTGTGGTATATAGTATAATTAGTATCTAATGATTCTGTTATTGGTTGTGTGGTATATAGTATAATTAGTATCTGATGATTGTTATTGGTTGTGTGGTATGTAGTATAATTAGCATCTGATGATGCTGTTATTGGTTGTGTGGTATTTAACAAGATTTTGTATTAAAATTATTACAGGCTATTACTAATATGTTACAGCTGAATGTAATGTGTTTTTGTATTAAAATTATTACAGGCTATTACTAATAGGTTACGGCTGAATGTAATGTGTTTTTGTATTAAAGTTATGAGGGATTCTTTCTAATAGGTTGTAGCCGAATGTAATGAAGGTGCAAAAAAAATGCAAAGAATGGAAGAAATTATGCTTTTAAGTCATCAGTTAGAGTTCAGGGATTGTAAGGTTAGTGAAGAAGGAATTTTTAATAACTTTTCCATTTTGAATATTAAGACTTTCTTTTCCTTGTTGTATTACTCTTTTTCACTATAAAACTCAACTTACTAGAGCAGTGAGATACCTTAATATTTCAAATAGTATAATATCCAGTTTTGAACAAGATATTCACCAAAACTGGATATTAGTGAATGTGTTCACATTACATTAACATTATGTAACAATAATGTTTTTACACTATTGGAAAGTAACATCAATAATAGCAATGTATTTTTTAAAGCATGTTAAAGTATACATTAACAGATCATTGGAGAGTGTACAGACAGATTCATCTCCTTAGTATACATTAACAAGTCATCCATTGGAGAGTGTACAGACAGATTCATCTCCTTAGTATACATTAACAAGTCATCCATTGGAGAGTGTACAGACAGATTCATCTCCTTAGTATACATTAACAAGTTATCCATTGAAGAGTGTACAGACAGATTCATCTCCTTAGTATACATTAACAAGTCATCCATTGGAGAGTGTACAGACAGATTCATCTCCTTAGTACACATTAACAGATCATCCATTGGAGAGTGTACAGACAGATTCATCTCCTTAGTATACGTTAACAGATCATCCATTGGAGAGTGTACAGACAGATTCATCTCCTTAGTATACGTTAACAGATCATCCATTGGAGAGTGTACAGACAGATTCATCTCCTTAGTATACATTAACAAGTCATCCATTGGAGAGTGTACAAAAGGATTCATCTACTTAGTATATATATTAAAACTATCCATTGGAGAGTGTACAGACAGATTCATCTCCTAACATCTAACACATTCATCAGTTGAAATGTGTGTATATTTTTGTCAGCTGAAGAATACAATGTTATATTAATAAGCTGAATACATATGCATAACAGATGTCTGTTGTATAATGTATTGTTAAATTTATTGGTAGGTGGATATAACATATTCATCTCCCACTGTACTCTTCAACTGGTGAATCTATAATTTATACACTCATCAAATCTCCCACTGTACTCTTCAACTGGTGAATCTATAATTTATACACTCATCAAATCTCCCACTGTACTCTCCAACCTGTGAATCTATAATTTATACATTCATCAAATCTCCCACTGTACTCTTCAACTGATTTGATGAGTGTATAAATTATAGATTCACCAGTTGAAGAGTACAGTGGGAGATTTGATGAGTGTATAAATTATAGATTCACCAGTTGAAGAGTACAGTGGGAGATTTGATGAGTGTATATATTATAGATTCACCAGTTGAAGAGTACAGTGGGAGATTTGATGAGTGTATAAATTATAGATTCACCAGTTTAAGAGTACAGTGGGATATTTGATGAGTATGTGTGTGTTTATGTGTGTGTGTGTGTATATATATAAAACAAATTAAAAGACTACTCTCAAAGGGAGCAGATATTCATAGACTAGTTGTGGCTTTAATAGGGAAGATATCTGTCATTATTAAATCTGATATGATGTGATCTGTTACATAATAGCTCATTTTTGTTTTGAAAATATTGCTTGAATTAGTTTATTTCCCAAATTGTCTTATCAATTGTAGAATTGAAAGTTATGAGTTAGTAACAATCTACATTGTTTTCCTCACAGGCTATCCCATTAATTTCATCATCTCGTTGGCTGGTGAAGAAAGGAGGAGTTACTAGATTGTTGTTCGAAGAATCTTCTAAATACACCTTTGGTCGTGCAGCTCGCTGCTTTAAAACTTCTGTTTACTTGTTCCTATTTACAGACCTCCTTATTGTGACAAAGAAGAGAAGGTATGCATCCAACTCAAAATAGTTGGAAACTGAGATGATAAGTTGATGAGAAACATTAAATATTAACTGATAATATTTGAGTGTGAGTTCAGTAGTTGAGAAAAGAGCTGATTAAATTTAATCATACAAAAACATTGTCAGTATTTAAGTTGATATAATAAATAATAAGGTTAACTTTTTTTGGTGAAATTACATGGTCACTCTAAAAATTTAACTTTTTTTTTTTTAGCGAGGAAAACTACACCGTAATAGATTACTGCCCAAGAAACATGCTACAAGTTGTGTCCTTAGACCAACCTCTTCCATCACAACTTCCTTTCCGTTCTGAAATCTGCAAAAATTTATTTCAGTTGATAATGTTAAACAATCATGAAGGGAAGACAGTGGAAATGATCTTCAGTTGCCCATTAGAGTAAGCTTTTGTTGTTTACTCTTAAACAGAAATGATTTTGTAATGTTGGTGAAGATTGTCTTGAGTTTGTCCAGTTGAGTAAGTTCTTTCTTAGTGAAGATGGTCTTGAGTTGTCCAGTTGAGTAATTTCTTTGTTAGTGAAGATGGTCTTGAGTAAGTTCTTTGTTAGTGAAGATGGTCTTGAGTTTGTCCACTTGAGTAAGTTCTTTGTTAGTAAAGATGGTCTTGAGTTTGTCCACTTGAGTAAGTTCTTTGTTAGTAAAGATGGTCTTGAGTAAGTTCTTTGTTAGTGAAGATGGTCTTGAGTTTGTCCACTTGAGTAAGTTCTTTGTTAGTAAAGATGGTCTTGAGTTTGTCCACTTGAGTAAGTTCTTTGTTAGTAAAGATGGTCTTGAGTAAGTTCTTTGTTAGTAAAGATGGTCTTGAGTAAGTTCTTTGTTAGAAAAGATGGTCTTGAGTCTGTCCACTTGAGTAAGTGCTTTGTTAGTAAAGATGGTCTTGAGTCTGTCCACTTGAGTAAGTGCTTTGTTAGTAAAGATGGTCTTGAGTTTGTCCACTTGAGTAAGTGCTTTGTTAGTAAAGATGGTCTTGAGTTTGTCCACTTGAGTAAGTTCTTTGTTAGTAAAGATGGTCTTGAGTTTGTCCACTTGAGTAAGTTCTTTGTTAGTAAAGATGGTCTTGAGTTTGTCCACTTGAGTAAGTTCTTTGTTAGTGAAGATGGTCTTGAGTTTGTCCACTTGAGTAAGTTCTTTGTTAGTGAAGATGGTATTGAGTTTTTCCACTTGGGTAAGTTCTTTGTTAGTAAAGATGGTCTTGAGTTTTTCCACTTGGGTAAGTTCTTTGTTAGTAAAGATGGTCTTGAGTTTTTCCACTTGGGTAAGTTCTTTGTTAGTAAAGATGGTCTTGAGTTTTTCCACTTGCATATGTGGAATCAGTATTAGTCCTAGTGTAAGTCTTGTTAAGGAAGTACTCTAATACTTTTGTAGGTTATCTCAGTTAATGATACTGTTTTATGCCTCAGTTACATTTGATGTGTTCTTAATAAATAGTTCCTACACAATTGGGTTGTGTTATGGTAACTAATGGATATTTTCGACAGGTGTTAGATAATTTCTCGTTCAACTGATAGCTTGTATTTAATAAATGGTAGTTAATGAAGGTTATCTTGCATTTCTGTCATGATTAAGTTACTTTGTTAAATAATTTATATGATAAACATAGAGAAATGGTAGGGCAGTTAATACAGTTGTCATAAAACAATTACATTTTACATACAGGGTTTTAATCATATTTTCATGTTATATAAATTATATTTATTTACTTAAATGTATGTATGTGTGACTTTTAAGAACAATTAAGATTTTTAAAACCTGCCTATATATAAAATAAGTATTTTTTAAGAACAAAAGATACTAGGTTCAAATAGCTAATGTGTATGTTTGCTCTGCTATTATCAATACCCTGTCAATGTTTTTATTTCTTTCATGAGTATAGTAGTGATAGGACTCTATGTTTGCTCTGCTATTATCAATACCCTGTCAATGTTTTTATTTATTTCATGAATATAGTAGTGACAGGACTATATGTTTGCTCTGCTATTATCAATACTCTGTCAATGTTTTATTCTTCATGAGTATAGTAGTGATAGGACTATATGTTTGCTCTGCTATTATCAATACCCTGTCAATGTTTTTATTTCTTTCATGAGTATAGTAGTGACAGGACT